AGACCTATCGATTTCGTTCGTGTTGTGTACCCTATCACACAATTCGGCACACCCCTCATACGGTTCGTGACCTCATAGGGAGCGCCACCGAAAAATATATTCACAATTGCGGTATTCACAATTGCGTATGGTTGGGTCCTTCGCCAGGCGAATTCCTGACCATCCTGTGGTGTTGGGTCCTCGTTTTGAAGAGACGGTCCCCGCGTTCTCCTCCTCTCGTGCCCCCCCCTCCTCCCTACCGTCCGCATGCGTCCCGCACACCCAGTACAACGTTTGGCCCCGTAGGGCGCCCCACCGAAGGTCCCAGCGCTACCGTCCGCATGCGTCCCGCACACCCAGTACGGTGTTTCGTGGCCCTCCTCCCCCTCCTCCCTGCGTTTCACCCACCCAGTGCAACGTTTCGTGGCCCCATCGGGAGCTCCACCGAAAGCCCCAGTGCCCCCGTCCGCATGCGCCCCGGAAGCCCAATTTGGCAATTTCGCTTACCCAATACAGCGTTTCGTGGCCCCATAGGGAGCCTCCCAGCGCCACCGTCCGCATGCGTCCAGCACACCCAGTACAGCGTCTCGTGGCCCCATAGGGAGCCCCACCGAAGGTCCCAGCGCTACCGTCCGCATGCGTCCCGCACACCCAGTACAGCGTTTCGTGGCCCTCCTCCCCCTCCTCCCTGCGTTTCACCCACCCAGTACAGCGTTTCGTGGCCCCAAAAGAAGCCCCACCGAAGGTCCCAGTGCTACCGTCCGCATGCGTCCCGCGCACCCAGTTCAGCGCTTCGTGGCCCCATAGGGGGCCCCACCGAAGGTCCCAGTGCTACAGTCCGCATGCGTCCCGCACACCCACTACAGCGTTTCGTGGCCCCATAAGCATAAGGAGCTCCACCGAAGGTCTCAGTGCTACCGTCCGCATGCGTCCCGCACACCCAATACATCGTTTCGTGGCTCTCCCCCCCTTCCTCCCTGCGTTTCACCCACCCAGCGCAGCGTTTCGTAGCCCCATAGGGAACCCCACCGAAGGTCCCAGTGCTACTGTCTGCATGCGTCCCGCACGCCCAACACAGCGTTTCGTGGCCCCATAGGGCGCCCCACAGAAGGTCCCAGCGCTACCGTCCGCATGCGTCCCGCACACCCAGTACAGCGTTTCGTGGCCCTCCTCCCCATCCTCCCTGCGTTTCGCCCACCCAGTACAACGTTTCGTGGCCCCATAGGGAGCTCCACCGAAGGCCCCAGTGCCCCTGTCCGCATGCGTCCCGGAAACCTAATTTGGCATTTTCACCCACCCACTGCAGCGTTTCGCGGCCCGATAGGGGACGCCACCCAAGGCCCCAGTGCCACCGCCCGTATGCGTCCGGGAAATGCAATTTGGCATTTTCACCCGAGCAGTGCAGCGTTTCATGGCCCCATAAGGGGGCTCCACCGAAGCCCCCAGTGGGACCGTCCGCATGCGTCCCGGAAACCCAATTTGGCATTTTCACTCTCTCAGTGGCGCTTCGTGGCCCCATAGGGAAATCGACCGAAGCCCTCAGTGGGACCGTCCGGGAAACCCAATTCGGCACACCACCCACACAGTACAGCGTTCCCCCCCGCCCAGTGCAGCGCTTCGTGGCCCCATAGGGAGCTTCACCGAAGCAGATATTCACAATTACGGTACCCACAACTGCATATGGTTTTGACCTTCGCCATTTTTTTTTTGTTATATATATATATATTATTCTTATTCCTTGCTCTGGGAATATATATATATATATATATATATATATGTATATGTGTACATATATATATGTGTATGGATGTTATATTTTTGATTGTTTTGTTTTCGTTTGTTTGTTTGTTTGTTTGTTTTTGTTTGTGGCTACCACTATATCAAGCACAGGCGGCACCACGTCGTGGGGCCCACGACCACCGGGCAAGCCGGGAGCGTCACACGAGAAGCCGCCAAGAGCCAATACGTGACGATCATCTGGCAGCGGCCGTGTAGGCCGCGCTCATTCTCGGGGCAACTCGTGGGCGGCACGCGCCCAGGTGCCCGCGCAGCGCGAGTATGTCACCTGTATCTCCACGCCTTGGACTTTTTTCCTGCCCCCGACGCTTCCCCTTTCCCAGCTCACTGGTGCACCTCTGGTATTTCCTATTTCTGCCTTCGTGCTTATCCCCGCCTGCCGACCTGCCCCGCTGGCGCCCACTGGCCACCCACCTGACTCGCCGAGGGCGTGCACTCTGGGTCTCGGGTGCTGAACGTACTTCTCTGTCCCCTCTGCTCTGCTGCTGCTGCTACTCCCTCGCCTGCCGTCCTCATCCGCCTGTCGCTCCCCTTCGTCCCTCTCTCTTTCTGCTCTCCTCGCTGCTGCAGCTGCCTCTTTTTTCTTGTTTTTCTGCTTCCCCCCAAGGCCCGGGTCGTCAGGATGACGGCCGCGTGCTGGAGTGCAGGAAATGGTCCGTCCTCCTCCGTCTCTCTTTCTGGCTCTAGCCTCACTGCGCTCATGGCGTTTGCTCGCGCCTCCCCCATGCTTTCGCCTCTGCCCCTTCGGCATATGGAACGGTCTGGTAGGGCAATGTCTCTGAGCCGCTTGACTGGCTTTCGATGGCTGCGCTTCACGTTCGGGCCATCGTCCCCTGGATCGTTTACGCGTGCGTGTCTTAGAACATCGATGTGTGCGCGTACAAGTAAACGACTTTTCTTATACATTCAATGAAGCAGAGAGAGGGACATATAATTAAGAGAAAACCCCCAATCAATCGGTGGTTTTCGCTGAAGAGATCGACTGGGAACCCGGGAGCCCGGGAACCCAAAACCCACCGAAATCGGCCCCGAACCAATAACCGGGAACCCGGGAACCTGGAACCGGGAACCCGGGAACTCAGCCTGCTACTCGGCGGGAAACTTTCGTCAAATCTTTCAACTTCCGCTAGGACCCCTTCAGTGCAATCACTGATTGGGGAACGAAAGAGAGAGAGAGAGAGAGAGAGAGAGAGAGAGAGAGAGAGAAAAAGCGCAAGAGAGAGAGAGAGAGAGAGAGAGAAAGAGAGAGAAAGAGAGATGGCGAAAGATGAGAGCTGATGCAAAGTACTGCCCGAAGACCTCCAAGAGGCCCCTAAGATGTACTAGAAGGCACGCAATGACACTCTGATTCACGGCCCAGGCACGATGACGAACATGGGCACAAAGGAACATGATATTTTTCATCTCAAGGCTGGAGACACTCCTGATGACTTACCAGATCTACTTCAAGGAATCTTGCCACCGATTATTCGAAGTCGTGTTCAGCTCACGCTCGACATCATGCTTGTTTAAGCGTTGGGTGAGTCTGTGTCTGGGGGGAGAGAGAAAGAGCGAGAGAGAGCGAGATACATAACGAGATCTATATATATATATATAGATAGATCAAGCTAGAAACATACATAGCGAGAACTCAGCAAACATCTCACATCATGTCAGCATGCGGATTGTACGACACAAAGTAATGGGAGAGGGGGAGAGAGAGGGAACAATGCATCGTGACATCAGGAGGGAGGCAATGTGGGTCCGGAAGCGGCGCGGAAGCGTACACACCAGAACCGATGCCAGCATGGATGTGTGTCTGTCAACATGCAAAAGCAATGGCGGGACAAAGATTAGAACATGTGGCACCCATAAGCTCAGAAACTTTTTGGCTCCAGCCGCGTGCTTTCGAACGGCCTTGGCGTTTGCTGGGTTTGGTAGAGGTCATGTTTCAATGCATGTGCAAGCATCGGGCGAGAGCCAAAGACATGCCTTTTCAACAACTGGCAAACTAGCCGCATCAGAGTGCATTAGCCGTAACCAGCTTGCCCAATTCCTGCATCCGCAACCGCCACGCAATACGAATCTGTTACCGTCTGTCCGCCAGACCCTTCCAACTTGGACCAGGCGTAAACACATTTCCCTCTCTTCGGAATGCTGAAGGATTGCGATCTTTGTATTGTTAAGCAATCCGATCATAACGTAAACCACCGATAATGGAAAGTGAAGGCCACTACCAGAGCATTTATATAACAAGCTCACTTAAAGCGAATGCCACCTGGGAGAAAGCTAAGCCGAGCCTAAAGTGCAGTTCAGTTCAGCACCAAACATCTAAAACCACATTGCAACTAATGACAAGCTAATTGCATTGTGCAAACAAAATCAAAAGAGCGCAACACTGAAGCTTCAAATGCCGCACAACGGCACTCGACATGCTGGTTTAACAACATACTTAACACGCGCCAACTGTACCATAAGTGTCCCGTAGGCGTAGCACTATGACGTAGAGCTAAGCTTGGTGAGCTAAGCAAGCGCTGACTGCAAGCTGTACGTACCTCTAACCACAGCCATCGCCACGCTGTCAGTAAGCTGAGAACGGTAGCCAACATGTACTACAAGGACGAGCTGAACACCCACAGCAATACAACACACATACACACACACACTCTCTCTATACATATTGCTGTATATATATGTACATATATATATATATATGAATGCCTTTTACGTACATGCATATACACATCCAAACATCTATGACACTACTCGGAGATTCAACTGCACACGTGCCAGCACCGCGGACAACGAAAATGTAGTGTCTTTGGATTTGAGAGCAGGTGTCACGTTGATCCACCCAAGATGAACACCCAACGTAAGCTGGCTTCAGGATCTCCCTACCACTAGCCCCCCTTGCACACCACAAACTGCAGCCATCGTGCTACCATAAGGGACGCTAAACCTGGAACGACGCCATTTTTGGGCCCCCAAACCGAGGTGCACAAGGAGAGCGAGAGAAACAACCATGAACACATCTGATGAACAGCGAGCTCATTCCGAACCCGATCTGTTCCTAATCTTAGGGTCTTGACTGTAAGACTCTTTAAGCATAACCCAATTCGGGAACACTTCTGCGGCTTCCACCTCCAATGCCGCGCTGCAGAATATACAACGGTGCAGCTTCGCCACAAAACAAACGCGATGTGCTTCGACAAGACGTCTTCTGACCATGGCGCAGCTGAAGCCACTCAACTCGGTGGTGTGACGGCCGCCGTGGAACAGCCGCCACCGCCAAGAAGTCGGCCGCCACCGCCAAGAAGTCGTAGCTTCGTGTGTCGTGTCTTGCGTGACGTGAGCGCGAATCTGTGCGACACGCGCGAACCGTCGATGCTCCTCCTTCCAGATGGCGGCGGAACAAGGTGCCCAAAGGTGTCCTGCTGGAGTGTCCAAATAGTCTCCCGACAAGGTCCTGACGATTCCAGGTTGTGTTTTGTTGATGTCCTGGTACTGTCCTAATGGTGTCCGAACTTACTTTGGATTTTCCCTTCTGAGGCCCGAATCTATTCGCGATGCTGTCGCGATTGACTTCGGATGATCTATTGATTGTGCTCCGATTTATATCAGGTTATGTCATGGTGATGTCCCGCTCTATTTTCGAATCTGTCCAGAAAGTGTCAAGATTAGTGTCAAGGTGGCCCCATGGGCTTGCCACCTTGTCCCGATGGTTTTCCAAGGGCTCTGCGATGATGTGAGGACATCCGCTTGCGTTCCGAATGCGTGTGCGCTGCACTGGACTAGACCTTGTGCTGAAAGGTGCCGCCAACGTGGCCGTGACCAGAAATTCGTGTGTGGCCGAAGTGGTGAGTGCTATCGACATGCAATGCCATGCTGCGCCACGTCGTGCCGCGCGGTGCTGCCGGAGGCGATCGGAGCAACTGCATGGCTCGCATTTGGGTGTGGCCATACATTAAGCTGCGTGCTATCGGTGGGGCCGACTATGACAAACATGCATTGGGCTAGCACGCGCTCTGAAGATCATCGATCCTAGTCCTCGTCGTCGTTGCTTTCGCCATCCGTGTCGTCGTTCCCTGGGGAAGCCAAAAAATACTGATACCGCTACTCCCCAGACCTCTCCTGGGGTGCGTTCTGACCAGAATCTCGAAGCAAATCCAGCCGTGGCGACGAGGGCCTCCCAGGTCCTGTCGAGACGTGTGGTTTCGTGCGGCACCGTGATCGTGGTCACGGACAAAAAATATGGCGGGCGTGAACATGTCTGGGGCCGCTGCGATTCCATGCTGTGCCGTGCCGTGCCATATGCGTTGCGTGGTCATTACCTCGGATCCGAATGCGATCGACGTTGGCAAATGTAGCCTAATGGGACGGCGTGCTGTGCCGTGTCGTACCTTGCGTAATGCAATATGATGCTGTTTGTGCGAAATGCCATTTCGTGCCTTGTGGTGTCGTGCGCCGCCGTCTGCAATGCACTTGTAGGCTAATCCATGCCGTGCAACCAGTCTGTCTGCGGTACAAGCAAGCGAATTCGACGTGCTGCGCCATCGAGCACGAAATCGGCGTGGATGTGAGTCTGTAAATATATACAGAAGTGGTGGCCGGGAAATGTCCCAGAATTGTGACGTGGCAACTCATATATTCAAACAATACTCCCCTGGAACTTCTGGTATCGGCGCTTTTCCGTAACCAGCATGCCCTCTGGCATGACAAGCACATCAAACCACAACCCACCTCGCACCCCATGATAATAGTGAAAACATGCGAACATATAAAAGCACACCAATTGCTTAAACTTACGTTGTTTCCCACCTACCCTCTAGAGGGGCAAACCAACTTGTATATTGCGAACGCCAGAACCACTTCGACGCTTCTATTCGCTATCGTCACAGCTTTGCATCCTTGGGTCACCCTATACTGCCTGGTTCGTCTCAACTGGCATCAGAAGAGATATACCGACCTCCGAATGACGTGCAACACGCTGGCAAGTGAGTGCAAGCGCATAGGCCGCTGCTTTGGGAACAAATCCGCCGACCGCCGCATGCCGAGGGCTTGAAGGCGTGCGAGATGCTTGGCTGTCCCCCTCTCCTTGGCTCCCACCCTCCCTGGGGTTCCAATGTCCCGTTTGAGGGGAGGTTGGGTGGAGCGACGAGCTCACCAGTGCACCAGCCGGGGCCTAAGAGCCTTGCCAAACAGCCTGCTGGGGCTTCAAGCCTCCCCCAGTGGCTCTGAGTCGCCGACGATGCCCCCCCCCAGAGGCCCTATCATTTTGCTATAAGATTGCCCAAGATTGTGCCACGATCTCAAGAGGCAATCAGAGGCTCCAAGATGTCTTCGCGGAGGCCCCCCCGAGAGCCCAAACATTGTCAGCATCGATTTGGTTTCGTCTGCGTTCCCCCCTTTTGGGCTCAAGATGGCCCCACGATGGGCTCCAGAGACGTCCGAGCGAGCTTCACAAGCACCCGAGAAATCCCAAGACGGCCCAAGATGGCCTGCAGATAGCCACACGATGGTGCCAGATGCTCCCAACTGGCTTCCAACATGTCGAGCCCGCCCAACACCCCACCAAGACGGCCCTGATACTCTCAAGTCGGATCCAACAAGCTCCAAAACGGCCCCAAGACTCCCCAAGGCACGCAAAGATAGCCCCAAGAGACCCCGAAGGTGGCCCACGGCCCGAGGTGGCGTCCACGACCGCTCTGGTTCGCGCGGGGTCGGCTCTGCGGTGGCCCCGGTGCCTCCCTGCGGATACCCTGGATGGCGAAACCACTCAAACTGAGAGTGTCGCGAGCTCCCGCCTCAGGTCGGCGGGATGGCGTAAGCCTCTTGGGTGAATTTGACACGTTGGCCGCTTACATCTTAAACCAACATGCTGCTTCACTGGAGTCAGCGTGCAGAAACCATCCGCCACCACCCGCTGCAACGGAGAGTGCCAAGGCGTCTGGCACTTCTGCGCGCACTACTCGTTGTTGCACACACTCACGGCCCCAAATCAACTGTCACAATTCTGCCGGCCAATTTTCGCAAGTCTCAACGGTCTTGCGTTTCGGAACAAGAACACACATACCATCACGTGCGGTGAGGCATGCCGTGCTCACCATCGCGCCGCGGCGTCCCCGCTGGGCTGGCCCTGAGAGGTCTCGGGCCGATCCTCCGAGGCCCACGCCTCGCTCGACTCGCATGACAACAGTATCCAAGTGAGTGTTCGATCGTGCTTGCGCTGAAGCATTACATTACACTGCGTTGCTGTTGGGGGGCTTCGGCGTGGTGGGACTCTCGCGCATGCCTCTGCAAGCTGCAGCGGAACATGGCAGACGCCGACCTAGCGACTGGTTCACGCTGGTTGCAGAACGCATTGGGCCAGATGGACGCCAAGCCGTCTGAGTGGCCCGATGAAAGGCTCCGAATACGGCTCTGGCGCGGCCCGATATTGCTTCGGGGCGGCCATGAAGCGGCCCGGGGCCGCTGCACGGCCGGGGGATGTCACGTGGCGGCACCCTCGAAAGTAAACCGGGGCCTCTGGAAGCCAGCTTGCGGCCGTCTTGGGGGCCTGTGTGCGGCTCTTCGCGCTCCGTTGGGGCTCTGTGGTTTCCGGGCTCGCCCAGGGGCCCTCAAGGGGGCATCGGAAGGACTCTTCCAAAGGGGTCTTGAACCGCCTTGGCGGCTTTTTGGGGCCGTCTGGAGGGCTCTCGGGGGCCTCGCGAACCCTCCTTTATGCTTCTAGGGTTGGTCGCGGGGCCGTGTTGATACCAATCATGAGGAAGGCAGGCACTTCTACCTTTTAACAAACACCTAAAACGGATATTTACGTTTGTGGGTCCTCGGGGGCTCTGTGCGAAGCTGTCCTGGATCTTCTTGTCTGCTCTTGGGGCCAGATTGTTTCCCAATGTCCTAACAGCGGAATTTTATCATTCACGTGACGCCTCCGCCTCCTCACTCAACCGCCTCCCTCGCACAACCATGCACAGCTAAGCTTAGTCAGACTTAGGTTCACTCATGGTCGGCTCAGTAATAGCCATACTTACCCACACTTAGCCACTCATACTTCCGATCGCTCTCACTCACACTCACATTTAGATTCACTCATACTCAGGCTCGCTGACAACCAAAACCACTCATATTCAGACTCACTCACTCTCGGACTCACTGACGGACACACTCATACTCAGGCGTACGCGAACTCATTTTCACTCATACGATGACGACTTAAACTCAGACTACACACGCTCCTATCCACTGGTGCCCAGACCCGCTCATACTCAGACCTACTCATGCTCAAAGTCTGGCCCATGCTCTCCTCGACGTAGCACGCGTAGCATTTGGGCACCTAAAGGAGGAGCCGCCAGGGGGTATGTCATGTCCCCCTTCGCGCCCAGCATGTGGGGAGGTCTCCAGCGGTTCGCTCGTTTGGCGTCGCCGACTGTTCTCTTTGGAAAGCCTCATGATCACTGCGCCCAGATTGTAGGGGTATCTCCAGCGGTTCGCTCGTTTGGCGTCGACGACTCCTTTTGCTTGGGAGTTGCATGGTCACCGCAACGTAGAAGGCATAGCATTTGGCGCCCCAGGGAGGAGCCGCCAGGGGGGACTTGCCCGTTCGCGCCCAGATTGTGGGGAGGTCCCAGCGGTTCGCTCGTTGGGCGTCGCTGACTCCTTTCTTTTGTGAGCCTTATGAGCAACGCGATGCAGCTGGCATAACCTGGGGCACCCCAAGGATGAGCCGCCAGGGGGAATATTTCATGTCCCTGTCGGGCCCAAATTGTGGGGATGTCTCCGGCGGTTCGCGTCGCCGACCCATCACTTTGGAAAAAACCATGATCACCACGATGTAACAAGCCTGGCACTTGGGCGCCCCAAGGAGGAGCCGTTACGGGGGGACTTGCCCGTTCGCGCCCAGGTCGGATGTCTCCAGCGGCTCGCTCGTATGGCGTCGCCGACTTCTCTCTTTTGCGAGCCTCATGGGCACCGCGATGCAACAAACATAACAGTGAGGTACCCCAAGGAAGAGCCGTCAGGATGTATTTCATGTCGGGCTCTTCATGTCCCCGTTCGCGCCCAGACTGTGGGATGTCTCCAGTGGTTCGCTCGTTTGGCGTCGCCGACTCCTCTCTTTTGGAAGATCCCTGATCACCGCGATGTAGCTGGCCTGGCACTTGGGCGCCCCGAGGAGGAGCCGCCGGGGGGGGGAGGGACACTTGCCCGCTCGCGGCCAAGCGGTGGGATATGTCTCGAACGATGCGCTGGCCGAAGCACCCCTGGGTCCTCTCCTTTCAGGGCCCATGATGACCGCGATGTAGGAATCGTAGCACTTGGACACCCGAATGGGGGGACCTCCCGCTCGCGCCCAGATGGCGGGGACGTATCGAGTGCAACGCTGGTTTTGGCACCCCCGACCCCTCTTCTCTCATGGTCCCGAGGTCACCCCGACGTAGCAAGCACAACATCTGGGCACCCCACGGTGGAGCCGACAGGGATTGCTCGGTCACCACTGGCTAAGCCTCTCTTACTCAGAACATCGCAGCGGGAAGCGCAAGGACCCTATTCTGATGTGCGCATGGGGATCGCCGCGCCGACTTTTTGGTTTTGTCGCGATGAAATCGCGGGCCCGCTGATCTTCTCATCAACCAACTACTGCTATCTTGCTCTCTGCTCTGAAGTGCTGGTGTGCTGTTGGGACTATCTTGAGAGCCTCCTCCTGGGGCCCTGGTCGCCCTCCGCGGGATCTCCGTAGCGTCGGGGCTCGCCCGGAAGCGCTCTGCAAGTCGATTGATTTGGGGCCATTCTGGAGCCACCTTGCCTCCTGTGCCGTCTGGGGGGCTCTCGAGGGTATCGAGGACCCTCTCGGAAACCTCCTGGATGCGATCGGTGGGCCGTGTTCAGACGACAGCTCAACTCATCAAAGCATCCTCATAGCAGGATGCAACTGTTCCCTTGCGGGTCTCGCAAGCTCCAGAGGTTCGAGTATACTGGGGGTGGGGATTTTCGTTTTGGGGGACTGGGAGTGATTGGAATCCCGTGCCCCTGCCGCAATGGCTGGACCTGGGAGACCTGGAACACTGGTGAGGAGACTGTGCTCCTGCCAGGAGTCTCTCTGGACCTGGGGGACCTGGAATGGCGAGAACCCCTGTGCCCCTGCCAGGCTCGGTGGATCTGGGAGTCCTGGAATGGTGAAGGTCCGAAGCGCCCGCCACGCTCCTCCTCCTCCTCCTCCTCCTTCTCCTCCTTCTCCTCCTCCTCCTTCTCCTCCTCCTCCTCCTCCTCCTCCTCCTCCTCCTCCTCGACCGATCGTCTCCGATCTCCACCGCCGCGTGAAAATAACAATTCTGTGCCCGCAGTGCTGGGGTGTATGCCTCTGCATCGCTGTGGCCTGGGGAAGCCTGGAATGGGCAGAACTCCATGCCCCCACCACACTTTGTGGACCCGAGGCCGTTGCGTGGACCCGGGGCGCACCATCCTCGAGCGGGCCCGCGCGGATCGCGTCTGGGGCGCACCTCTGTCTGGGCCTGGGACGCACCACCCTCGAGCGGCCTGGCAGAGAGAGCACCTGGAACGGTCCGGGGCGCACCCCTGCCTGGGCCTGGGGCGCACCACCCGCGAGAGCTACCGGCTTGAAACATCTGCCTGTCCTTGTGTTCGGCATCACCCTACCTCGGTGCCGATCTCAAGGGTTCCCTCAGTCTCTGAAGGCACATCCCTAAGGCTGCCATCGCCCTTGGGCTTGCCAACCTTGGAGATGAGGGCCAGTTCGAGGCTGGTGCGACAGGGCGCACACAGAACGCACTTGCAACAGTCTGCGGCGCGCCTCTTTCCGGGCCGGCAGCGTACCGTCCTCGAGGGAGCGCGCCGCGCCGGCATCGCAGGCACAGCGCCCGCGACAGGAGGCAGGCGGCTCCCCAGAGAGCGACTCCAGGGGGCCTTTTCTGACCTCTGCTATCGGCGGGGAGGCGTAAAGGTGGGGTTTGGCGGCGCGCAAAGGGGGGTTTATGGGGGAAGGGGGGGGGAACTTCTTAGGAAGAGACTGCTTTGTAAAAGGCGCCGGCCTTACATCTAGAAAGAAGGTCCGCACCTTCTAAGAAGCAGGGGTGCTTCTAAGAAGCCTTCCCCCCAGGCCCCCAAGAGGCTTCCAAGAGGCCCCCAAATTCCTCTCCAGGGGCCCCCGAGAGCCGTCCGAAGAGATCCCAAGAGGCCCAATAAGCATCCTTGAGGACTCTTGCCCACGTCAGCGTTGTCGTCGCCGCCGCCGTTGTCGTCGTCGTCTCCCTTCAGGGACATATGCACGCGTACACGAAAATCAAAACAAACAGAAGTCAACATTTCCGAACGAACTTCATGTTTTGAACATTGATGCGCTGAAGCTGCGGAACACATGATTTTTAATGCACCACTTCAATAATCCAGACCTTCTGATTACGTTCCTTCTCAGATTGTCCAAAAATCTTCGGAGCCTCGGATTGTGATCCGCCAGTTTCCAAATCTTGGAATGTTCCAGTCCTCAGGGGTTTTAACATGCGGATCTTCGGATCGGGATTTTCAAATCGTCGGCTCGCCAGACCCCTAGAACTTCGGACCATGGGACCTGCATCTTGGCTGGTGTATCTCTAGGCGAGCGCGTTCCGCTACTCGCAAAGTAACTACTCGCAAATGGCCTGGCTCCGCCGCGGGGGATCTACGAGAACTCTCATCCAAACGAACATATGTTTTTGTTTTTTCGTACGTTTGCGAGTAGGCACTTTGCGAGTAGTGGAGCGCGCTCGGTGAATCTCACTCACCTGCCCGCTCCGACCCCCCGGCTATAATGTTAATGTTCAGCCCGATCGGTCTGCCGGGGAAGAGCCCTGCCCAACCTTGACCCGCCAAGGAAAGTCCCACCCGCCTGGCACGCCCGTCAAAACCTGGCCCTGCCCGACGCTTCAACTTTCATGTCCCGCCCGCCCGACCGGCCTCCACACCCTCGTCCACCTTCCGAAATCGCTGTGGAAGAATCTCTCACCGAAACGTCGCACGCCGGCACCAAACAACAGACCGCCTATGATCCAACGATGGTGTCCGTCTACTCGTCACTTTCGCCCACCACGCCGAAATGGAGGATCTTGAATTATGCATGTCGGACTAGAAACATGTACATTCGCGACCGTATGCGCTCAAACATGGGAATGCATGCACGCATGGCTAAATACATACACGTACGTACTGAACAACGTCTGCATGTGCATGTCACTCGTAACCAGCGTCTGCATGTGTTTGTGTATACAAGTACGTGTACGTCTCCGTAGACGCATGGCGGTTATATCGCAGAAGCAAATGACGAATACTGTGCCTGTTGTTCACATTTGCATCTCCAAGAGCGGTGGCGGATAGACGCGATAGCGCAACTTGATACATAATGGCTACAGGTGTGATCGAGAAGGGCAGCCTGCGTACAAGCTGGAAGCAAGGAGTGAAGGAATAGTGAGGAACGTAGGCTAGCTCGAGATATGGAATGACACAAATAGATACTCTTCACATGCAACAACGACTTGTTCGACCAACGATCGGCTAACGGGAACATTGAGATGGAATCCCATAGGCGTGGTGTCATCTCAAGTGCTTCAATGCCATCACGTGTATCGCTTCATCTCATGCATCGGCTCCTGCCTCACAGACGGTTTCATATCTCGGGCTTCACTTGCAATCATATTCAATGTTTTACTGCAATGTTGCACCACATATGCTTCCTACTTTGTAACAGATCTACTTTTTTATTCCTCATCACGTACCGTCTCATACATTCACAATCTGATTTTGCAACTTGTGCCGAACACATGCTGGTACAATAATTGACATCAACCACAATTTCTTCTTTCGCACTCAACTTATCACGTGCCTCGAACCTTATCCCTCGTTTCCAAGAACCACGTGGTTCGTCCCCTTTTGTCTTGCATGCGTATCCACCTCTTGTTTCGCATCGTCTTTTTGCAATATGCATGAATCAACGCTTCACACCATGATCCACATCACATCTGACTGCAAATACCGTTCTACATCATTGTTGAACTTGCGTCGCACTTTCGTGTGGACACCGTCGAGATACCACGGGTCGCCAGAAGGAAACCACCAAGACCCCACTCCTTTAACCCTAGGGAAGCTGACATATTATGATGAGAAATCGGAGCATTTTGACCAACAGCGGCAACACACTTTGCATCGTCATTTATATCAGCTGGACATACGTTCGTGCTCGCCCAGGCATCACAACACACTTCATCCAACATCGCGTGCAACCTGCGTTGCGCGGTGCACGGCCACGATACAATACCTCCTAATTACTTCGCAGGGGATGCGCGTTTGGACTCGGATGTGTTGAAGTACGCCACTCACTGCCAGCAACTGGCTTCTGCTGAGCGGAGCATGTCGATTCTACAACTTTCTCGAAAGATTCGGTCGGCCGATCCCCGCACCTTCTTCGAACATCCCAGCAACAATTCACAACGCGAGGGCATGCAGGATGCGACGGAGCAATATAGAGCAGGAGCGAGCAGAGTGGCATCCAGGGCGTCTAGGGTATCGAAAAAAACACTCCCTGTCATCAACCTCAATGCCTCACTGTTTTGACACCTTGGGGGCCAGACAGCATCGCACCGTGATGCCGGAGGACGTGCAAAACTTCTGCTGCAGCTTCCTCCCGCCACTTGTTCGTCATCCGCTCTACGCTTTCTCGCTGCTCGCGAGAACCTTTTTAATGGAGCTAAGGTAAATGCATTGGATCCCTGCGGCCGCAGGGCTGTGACCCTGAAGGGCAGGTCACACAACATATCAACATGTAGACACGTGGACGCATCAACCAGACATCACCCGACGAACGCCGGATCTGTGAGGGCTCTCTCCCCGAGATGACCCCGATGTGAGAGACATTGATCGCCCAAGCAAGAATCGCATTGAGGACCTCTGACACATCCTCCTCCTCCTCCTCCTCCTCCTCCTCCTCCTCCCCCTCCTCCTCCTCCTCCTCCTCCTCTTCCTCCTCCTCCTCCATACACTACCGTGCCTTTAGGCACGAAGACGAGTGACCTCATGTGCCTTCACGCTCTTTGAGTCGAGAATTGCCAGAGTGAAGGGGCCGAGCGCCCTTCCAGTCCCTAGGTGCGTGCCTGAGATGGGGTTCCGCTAAGCGGATTCTTGTTGCTGTTTATTGTTGTTGTTGTCCCACCCGCGGCCCACCCGCGACCCACTTGCGAACCGCCCCGCAGACCGCCCCGCAAACCCACTTACATTGCCCGGACATAGAGGAAGGCCTGCGGCGGGCTCGTTTGCAACATCTCGGAAGGTCAGAGCCTGCGGCGGGCTTTTGCCCGCTTCCTTACGAACCTCGCAAACTGCTGACCTCCCCTCCTCACGCTTGCCCGCAACTATGGGGCTAGGGCAAATGCTCTTCGAAAAAGATCAGAAGGGGGCGAGGGGGAGTCAGGGCGGGGGAAGGGGGGCGACGATCGACGAAACGAAAACAAGCGGCTGCGAGCGCTGGCACATAGCTGTGCAAGAGGATCACCTCTTGGCCCAAGGAAGCTCCTATTTCCCCCCCCCCACGACTCGCACCTGTGCTCACCATGGCTGCCTGTCCTCTGACTGCGCCACGGGCTCGCTGGGGTGCCCTGTAACGCTCGTCTCAAAAAAACAACCCAGCTGTGAAACATAGCGCTAGGAGGACATGGACGCAGATACAGATGCGCATGCAGACGCATGCGCGCACTCACACATATGCGGACGTAAGGTCGAAGGAGGCAACATAAAAGACAGGGAAGAGAGAGAGAGAGAGAGAGGCGGAGAAAAAGACGATGAAGCATAATAAAACATATGCAGGCTGCCAATTTGGTAACGTGCAAGTTGGACGTCGGGGGTCTCCCATATTGGCGTAGCCCCCTTGGGCTACAACGGTGATGGCACACACCATGCCTTTTGGAACGGTGTCTGGGCCAACTACACTTGACCCACTGCTATGTTTTCATACATTGCCGAAGTTCTGCTTCCTTTCCCATGCTCCTCCGATTCGAACAACCACTGGTGGTGGGCCTCGAAATCGAAGTGTGGTCGCGCGAATCCGCAACGCAGATGCCACTAAGCTGATGACCCTGCAGGCGTGCTCCCAAGTCGCTTCTTTTGGCCTTGTCCGACGAAGCCCCGACTCTGAGTTTGAGCATCTTACTGGCGTGGAAATTCGCATTGCTGCAGCAACTCCCTATCGCCTACGAGCGGGAACAGAAGTTGGATGCCAGTGTCGGACGTTCATTCGTGCACCACTTCCACCCTGCTGAAAATACGATTCAGAACATCGCCCAGCACACGGTAAATGCAGATGGGCCAGGAACAATGATGATACCTGTTCCCCTCGGGAGGGGAACAAGGTCGGATTTGCTGATCCATTGTGCAAAATGCAGCAACCGCTCCTGTACCGTGTATGGGTACGTGCCCAATTCGTTAACATTTCGCCGACTAGAGGAAGAGGCCACCAACGTCCAGCTCGATCTGAGGTCAATTTCGCAACTCGAAACCATATGATCACGCTAGCCAGCGGTGCTGGGGCATTCAATTCATCACCTTATTTAGGGGCCCAAGTTGTTCGTACTGTATTGAGCAACTGCTGTCTGTAATGGCGGAGTCCCCGGCAAGATGACCCATTGTTCCCTACCTAGGCTCTGCCTAGAAGGGTTCTTACCCTGTGTGCTTAAAAGGCCGGGTAACGGCAACCGCCCCGGGCGGTTCCCCCGGCATCCGCCCCGCGGTTCCCCCAGTTACGTCCCCTTAGCTTGGCGTTGCTTATCTCATCTTAGCTTAGCTGAGCTTTAGCATAGCAGAGCACAGCATAGCATAGCGCAGCATATCATAGCATAACCCAGCATAGCATAGCATAGCATAGCATAGGATAGCGCAGCACAGCACAGCACAGCGCAGCAGAGCAGAGCAGAGCAGAGCAGAGCAGAGCAGAGCAGAGCATAACGCATCATTGCATGCCATAGCATAGCATAGGATAGCATAGCATAGCGCAGCATAGCATGGCATGGCATGGCATGGCATAGCAACTAATGCTGCTTTCCTAGGGGCTCCAACTTCTAGGTAGGGTCGCACTGGGGTAATTTATGTGGTGTCTTTCAATCCAGGGCAAATTGAAGCATCCGAATGAGTTGAAGTACTGGTGTGGTGGGCGGACCTTGCCCCTCCCTGGGGTGTCGATTCTGGCAATTGGGTGGGTGGGTGGGTGGGTGAAAAGAAACGTGGGTACAGGATGCCCGAACGGCCCTTGGGCATTTAGATGCCTGTGGAGGGCCCTCGCAATTCGCCAAGGGACGCAATATGCTTCCAAGGCGACGTTATGAGCCCAAGGAGCCCCCGAGAGACGCCAAGGGAGGAACCCCAGACAGCCAAAATGATCACAAACCTGCGCCTGTTAGCGCGTCAACCTGCCCCAGAACGACTCCCAAATGGCCCAACACGGCCATGCAGAGCCCCAAGAAGGCCAGGAGGGACTTCCACATGGGACGGGAGGATTACAGAAGCAATCCCGGAGGCCGCCAGGATAACGCAAGCCAGCCCCCAGAGCGCACGAAGACTACCCAACAAGGCCGCTAGGAGGGCTCCGAGACGTCTTCAGAAAATTCAGAGAGGGCCCTAAGCGGCCCCCAGGAGGACCCAAGGACCCCAAAGGGCCCAAAAAGGCCCCAGGGCGTCCACAGGTTCCCTGTAATACAGGGGTCGGCGGAGGTAGCGCAAGTCAACTGTTTTGAATCCAATTTTTCGCCGTACTTCTCAAATAAGGAAGAACTAACTACTGGTACCATGATGCGCCATGCACCCGTGTAGGTGGGCCCGATCCTGTTGCGGTTGACTTTTTGAACGCGGTGGTTCAAATCTCGAATGTGTGCCTTGTCTTAATCAGGGTCCAAATGAGGGATTCGTGTGAGCCTCCTGTGAGGCCGTCTATCGCTGTGTCGCCGATAAATCAGGAAGGGCGCGTAGCAAACCTTGATATTGGCAGCGTTTTCTATGTCGTAGTGGCTGTGCGCGCAAATATTGCTGGCACCCGTGACACAAGTACACGCGTGCTGGACGACAGCGTAACACGGCAGGAAAGAGCAGGCAAAGGCACACGCACGGAGTGATAGCATTCAAAATTTGAACAAGGAAAAAAGCAGAGGAGGAGGAGGAGAGGAAAATGAGGACGAGCATGGAGCTCATGCGGACGAGGAGAAGACATACATGTAATGGCGTGGGTTGGGAGTTCTACGAGATGAAACATGGCGGTAATCATGTGTAGATTGCGGGGCTTCTATTACTCTTTCATGCAATAAGTTGATATGCGTCGACGATCGGGCCAAACAGCGGCGACCCCTCCATTTGAGTCGAGATTGTGCGGGCGGTCGAACAAGTCTGGCGGAACAGAAAGACCAACAGGGAAAACAAACCATAACTGTCCAATCGCAAGTACATTCTAGGCTCGGCAGGGAGACGCCGTCGCTGTCTGACCTGACGGGCGCGCGCGTATGGGCGCGGGTTCCTCCACTGTAATGGTGAGCTCGCTCGTGCTCTTGATAGCGGCACTGGAGGAGCTCACGCGTGTGAGTGATGATGATGGTGGGAGTTACCATGTGCCGCAATATGTGATGTTGGTGACCTCGGACCGCCGACATGATGTCTGAAACCTTGTCCTGAGACTCAAGCGAAATGGTGTCCCCTGGGTCGCGTGACTGGCGAAGTGGAGGTGTCGTACCTTGACATGGTACGTGGGACAGAAGGTGATGGATGGTAATGGACCTTGAAGGGTGTGCGCGCTGTTTTGCCAGTGCCGCCTCGAGGCTTCACCGCGGTCGCGACCCGTGGGGGCCGCTCTGATCGCGACCACCATAAAGAGACGTATCTAAACATAATAAATGCGTTTAGATGCGATCGCGCCCAAGCGCAGGCGAGAAACCCATCGTATCTATTTCTCTGCAACGACGACAATACAGATATTATTTCCAGATGCGCGCCCCCGGCCTGCGCGGGAGCGCCGCCGTATCTAATCGGAAATATTTTTTTCAAGCAGAACTGAACATTGGGGACCGTATCTGTTTTCTTCAATAGAACCTATTCATTCGTATTTATTTGTCAAAGAATGACACTGCCGCGCCGTATCTATTCGTATATAATTCTTGTCAGAACGAATGCTGTTGGCTGTGCTCTTGGCGCGAACAAGATCCATGATATTGGTCGAAGTGGGAAGCCGTATCGATGAGGGGTGTGGAGACGAGCGACGACGACAAACACGACGAGGAGTAGGATGGATAATAACGACGAGACGAAATCTAGGAAAGAACTGGGTCGGAACATGGAACCGTAGGATGGGGAGAGCAAAAAGGAGGATGAGGATGAGGATGAGGAGGAGGTGGAGGTGGGGATGGAGGATGAGGATGAGGAGGGGAAGGAGGAAGAGGAGGAGGAGGAGGAGGAGGAGGAGGAGGAGGAGGGGGAAGAGGAGGAGGAAAAGGAGGAGGAAGAGGAGGAGGACGAGTGATTCGGACGATGAGCGCGGACGAGGAGGATGAGGACGCGCGGCGAGGAGGCGAGAGGAGCGGAGTGGAGTTGGAGGGGGCGTCAGAAGGATAACGTGGAGGAGGGGGAGTCAGGACGGGGATGAAGTGTCGATCAGCGATTGGAGAAAATGGTTCTTCTGCTTCGTCCCCCTCGTCCTCATGATCGTTCGGCTCGCCCGCCGTCCATGATTTCCCACTTCACTTCCTCCTCTTCCTCCTTCTCCTTTTCCTCCTCATCATCGTCGTCCTGGCTGGCATGTGTATTGTCTTCCCTGTTCGTGGTCATTGAGCGGCCTAGGCCTGGCAGTGAAGACGTGGCGCCGTATCTATTCGCATCTATTTGTTGGTAGACATGTTTCCAGCCATGGGCGCCACATTGAGCCGTATCTACACATATCTAAACATATGTACTCGTACCTAAAAAATGACCCCGTCTCTAACATTCGGAGGAAGCATACCTCCCGTATCTAAAATAATGAGAAGTCGTATCTCAACGTATCTACTTTTTGAAACATACATTTTCGAATCTAACTTTCTGGATGAAAACGCTGCAAAACACATCTGGCTCAGAGAGGAAATTTAGGCACCGTGCGGTCCTTCCGAATGCAGCTGCCGCTGGGGCAATGAGCAACCACAATAGGTTTTTAGATGAGCTCGCTGGGTGTGCCGGGCTCGGCGCTGCCCCTGGGCGAAGGCGGCTGCTGTGGCTGGTCGGCGCTGGCCGCGCGGAGGGCCGCGTCGGCGTGCCGGCGCCTGTCGCTCTCGCCGGCCCTGCGGGCCTTCTTCTTCTCGTTGGGGAAGTCGGCGGTGTCGTCCGGCGCGGGCTCGTTCTTGTCCTTGTTCCTGCCCTTGCCGGCAATCGCCGCAGCGCGCCCCCAGGCGCTGATGGGCGCTATGGTCCCCGCCCTCGTCCAAAGCGGGCGCGGAGTCGACGGGCGAGGAAGCGTCGGTCTCCAGCCCGAACCGTGAGACGCGCTGGCCTCGTCGTCTTCAGCCTCGCAAGACGGTGGCTTGGGATGATCCTATGGCGAGGGGTGGCCGCGAGATGGAGTGCGCGGCGCGCGCTCGCGTGGAGGTGAAGGGGGGCGCTGCATGCGGTGACAGCCCCGCCAGCTGCTTGTGGCCAGGCGGAAGGCTCCCGGGCAAAGGTGCGCCGAGCGATGCGCCGTCGAGCGCGGCTAACGGATCCTGACCGAATCCTGGCCAGGAGCCCACCTTTGCCAGCGTCCATTAACGCCTGCATTCGTCTCGCTGCTGGGGGCTCCGCGAACTCCTGAAGTGGTAGAGCTTCGTCGTGAATGTCATGGGCGCGATGCTCGGCGGGGCGTTCGCATGCGTGGGCCTCGGATTACTTGTCCAGCCGTGGATTCTCCGCGCTTCGAATGAGTCCTGCGCGAAGCTCGGGGTCCATCGCGTTAGCGCTGAACGAGGTGCGACCGAGTGCCTGTTCTGGCACCAGATCCGCATGGTACCAATTGCGCACGAAACTCATAATCTCCTCGTAGAGCTTGGTGAACGGCTGAGCGTCATCCGAGAGTGCCGTGGCCGGCACTTCTGTGGGTGGCGCAGTTGGAAAGCCTGTTGCCATCGCGGGTGCCGTGCTGGAAGGCGTCGACCGCGAGTGAGACATGGCTGCCGCGCGGCGTCTTCGCAAAGATGGTGGGCGCGACCGGGAAGGAGACAGCCCTTGAGCCTGAACGTGGCCTTGTGCAACAGGTGACTTTAACACCGCGCGCCTTAGCTCATTGGACTGCTGGAACAGGCATTTCACTTCGCAAGCTTGGGGCCTGCGTGGCGGCGGCGTCATCGGAAGCGTGACGGGAGGACGGGCCATCGCAGGCGGCCCCGCTGGGCCGTCGATTCTTGCCCAGGTGCCAGAAGGGGACGTCGGAGATCGAGCCCGTGGCGCGGCTCGGCCTGCAGTCGAGGCGAGTGCCGCATCTTCTGACGACGCCACTTCCTCCGTCGATGACAAGAAAGATGAGGGTGTGGAACGCCAGCGGTCTGGCGGCGGCGGGGCTTCGGCGGCTTCCTCTGAGGCGTGGTGACACGCGCGCGCGGCAGCGGATGACTGCCAGCGCGCGGCGGCGTGCGTCGGGGGCCCGTGCGCGGGCCCGGCGGCGCGCGAGCTACAACCGGCAGCTCGGCGCGCTTCGGCAGGGCGGCGCACGCGCCTGCTAATGAAAAGTGGTAGCGGTATCGCGAATGCTTCTCCCTGATCCTTCCTGCTACTTTTGTGTCCGCTATGTCCGTGCGCGCGCCCACCTACGCGCATGTCGCAGCGAGGAACGTCGTGGCGTTCCTGTGGGCGATTCGCTCCTCATCGTGGTTGCGCCTTCTGCTGTTGCCCTCGCAGTCGGACTGGGTATCCGAGGCGAATTGCCGGTTGGCTTGCAGAACGGCCCTAAGCACAGGCCGTTCAAGGAATGGCGGGTGGTTCTGATGCGGAGGTGAAGGTAAGTGCGAATGTGCGTCTACACCGCAGTCTTCGCAAGTTCCGTGGATCGCGAGCTGGGATCGCTCCCAGCTCCGCTACCAACTAGACTTGTGAGGGTTAGAAGCTGTGCAAGGGAAAGCATGGCGACAACAAGATGTACATTGCGGGGCTTTAACTCTTCATGCAAACAATATATTTGCGTCGACGTTCAAGTCAACCAACGGGCGTCCCCTTCTATTTGAGTGAGGAGAGGGAGGACGAGGAGGAGGAGGAGGATGAGGAGGATATTGCACCCAACCACGCCTACACACCACGCTCTCGGACCTCCTCCAGCACGGCGGCGGCGAGTTGTCACATCTGCTTTGCACCCTGTCTGGGGCAGCGGGTCTGGCGAGGACGCAGGCCGTGCCGCCCGCCCTCGGAGAAAAGGTCATCGTATCGCGGGACAGAATGGACCTCTTGCTGGCTCGGGCAGGCCCACCACACCTGCGGGCCCGAGAGCCGACGCTGCTCTCCTGGGGATCGCGTGCAGCGGTAGGCAGATCAGCGGCAGCATCCAGGACGGCGTCCTTAATCATTCTGCCCAGATTTCGCCCGTCGAGCTCGAAAGCGTTCTCCATGGGAACGGCCTCCCTGCACAGCGTGACGTCTGCGCGGCTGCGATCCTGCGCCTCGCCATCGCCGCCCATGGGGGCCGCCATATTGTCGACGAAGGTCGTCTTCAGCTTCGGGGGACCTTGCTGCGGCAAAGGTACCAACATCCCTCGAACGAACCACTGGGGATAAACTCCGAAGCGCACGCGTTGAAGGTGAAGCTCTCTGCCCCAGCACGGGCCTCCAGCCTGGCCCCACGTTCCCGCAGCCGCCGCAACTGCTCGATCGGCGCAGTCGACGCAAGCACGCCGCGAGTGTCGAAGCGCAGAGCAACGTTCCGTCTACTTGCTTGCGCCGCAGGCAGCACGCGCCCCGCCAGCTTCTTCCCCAAGGCCGGCGCCAGCGCCATGATGCGATCGGCGAGCTCCGCACACCCGAAGATGGTGCTGAAACCGTCGACGATCGCCTCGAAGCCCGCCTGCACGCGCTAAAACTCACCGTAGAACAGGATGATTCCCTGATCGGCAAACTGCTGCCTAGCCCACAGCTTCCCGGCCTTGCGGTCCTCGGAGCTGCGGCGCCATCGGTGTGCAACTCCACACCCTCCCGTCGCCATCCTCCGCGAGCCAGAGGCCCTGCTCCCCCAAGTCCCCCACGCCCGCCAAATTGCCCCACGAATCTGGGGTCTCGGGGTATGCCGGGGGACAAGGTCCAAGAACAGGGGTCGTACGGAAAGGCATGAACCAAAATGGCTACGGACGAAGGAGGAGGAGGAGGAGAAGGAGGAGGAGGAGGAGGAGGAGGAGGGGGGAGGAGGAGGAAGAGGAGGAGGAGGAGGAGGAGGAGGAGGAGGAGGAAGAGGAGGAAGAGGAGGATGATGATGAGGAGGAGTAGGAGGAGCTGCTGCTGCTGCTGCTGCTCACGGCTGTTGGACAATTCGATCAGTCATAATTCACTCGCTCGATCAAAACAATTACCAATGCATGCTTGCTTTAACACGATGGCTAAATTGTAGTGAGCGCCAACGGAGGAAGCGCAGGGACCGAGGCGGAGCAGGAGAAGGAAGAGGAGGAGGAGGAGGAGGGCACTCATGGGCGCGGGAACCGTGCATATGACAGCTTGTCTTCCCGCCCGTCCACCCCCGAAGGCCCCGCCGAGCGCGAAGCCCCACCCGCCTCCCCTCCTGGCTCGCGAAGAGCAGCCTCGTGGCCTCCTCTGGGCGCCTGGGCCGCAACTGCCAGGGGAGTGGAGCACTCAAGACGAAGTGAGGCGTGGCCACGGTGTCGTGCAGAGAAGCTCGAAAGAGTCTGGGTCCCAAGGCACAGCCAGGCCGACACTGCGTTCCCGGCGCAGGGAGGAGCTCGGGCAAGGCAAGCTTTCCAGCAGCAAGGACTGGCGTCCATCATCATCTTTTGCTCAACGCCAAGCCAGCGCTGTGGGCCACAGCAGGCAAGACCTCCGTCGCGACAGAACACGCCTGCGCCACCGTTCAAGCCTTGCACAGCCCCCAGAGGGCGGGTTGTGACTCTGCAGTGCTCGCTGGTCTTCGAATCAACTGGCTTTGCCGCCCAGTCTGGGCCCCCCATGGCTCGAGCCATGAGGCCTTGCCCTCTATCCCCCCCCGCGCCTTCCACCCCCTCTCCGCCTCATGCTCTGCCTCGCCCTCGTCTTCTCCCTCCAAGGACCCACCAGGACAGTCGTGGCCTCCCCCTGAGCGCACCTGCTGCTCTTCGTTCTCATTCTCCTTCTCCTTCTGCCCGTCCTCCTCCTCCTCATCGTCAACGCTCTCTTCCCTTCGATTTTGCCCAAGAGGGTGGGGCAGAAATCCTCTGCGGGCTCTTCAAGGCCGTCGTTTCCGGCAAGGGTACGTCGCCAGGCGCGCACCTCTGCCCAGCCAGTCCACCCCTTGCCCCTCCTGCCCTCCCTCCTCCTCCTCCTCCTCCTCCTCCTCCTCCTCCTCCTCCTCCTCCTCCCCCTCCTTTTCCTTCTCAGCTGCAACAGGGGCTGGGGAGGCCCTCCGATGTTATTGGCTCCTGGCGTGTGCTGTGGCAGCAAAAAGCAGCGAACTGCGCGCTCTCGCTATATCTCTCTCTCTCTCTCTCTCTGGCCGGCCGCCGTCCTCGCGCCCTCGCGCCGCCCCTTCGAGGAGTACAGCCCTCCAGACCAGACCGCTCATCGCGAAGCACGGCTGTCTTCACGTCTTTGCGAGTGGCCCAGATCACGGAGGTGTCGGAGCGGGTCCGCTGGAGGAGTCCACGCAGCGCGGAGAGGGGTCCTGGGGCAGAGCATCTAATGGAAGTCTGGTGGATCAGAGGGTTCGCACGGACGTGCACACATGCCCTTTACAGTATGCCATTCCTTTCTTCTCTCGTACGTCTTTCAGCCTCTCTCCCTCTCTCTCCCCTCTCTCTCTGTCGTCCCCCTCCTGTTGCTCCCTCTCCCTCCCTCCATTTCTGTGGCTCCCTCCCCGTTTCCCTCCTCGGCTCCCCGGTTTCCCGCCTCCGCCCGTCCTCTCGCTCAGCACCTCACTTCTCCTCCCCCTCCCCTTCCCCGCTTACGCCGAGGAGGATGCCGCACCGGGCTCGTGGCGCCTGGGCGATGCACGCGCGCTCGGGAGCTGCCGTTGCTTCTTCGCGCGAAGCGCACACGAGGCGTCTGGATCCGGACGTTACGGAAGGCTCGCGCTGTGATCAAGCGACAGGCTGTGCCCCTTGGCATGGGCGCTGGTCCGCAACTCTTGACAGGCATAAGAATCTCACCATCCGGGAAGATTGAACGAACATGCGCAACTCGCCAGAGATACAACATCACAGCTTCTCAAGTCCATAGCACATGCAAATAGTTCCTGGGGCGTAGCCGGCGGGAATGTGGCATTGGCCCTCACAGGACCAGAAAACCTGCCCAGTACGAGTGGGGTCGAAGAGTGGACGCATGCCCAACTCGGGGGCGCACTGGCCCGGATCAGCGCAAACCCGGGTCAGCTAGGGCCGCGGCGCGAGCCCAGGCTGGCCACGAAGCAGCTCCCGAACCCGAGCCGGTGGAGGGCCGGGGGCAGCGGGGTCGGCTCCAGGCGGCTCCCGAGTCCAGATCTTGGAGGGGATCTTCTGCCTCCCGCGAGCGCCGATGCCCGCGACGTGAGCCACGGCCATCTCAACGTGCGCCGACTCTGGCCATGGCGCACCGCCCGCGCTCCATGACACGCTTTTGGATTCAAAACTTTTAAATCAAAACACCAGTTTTTGAATTCAAAAACCAGTTTTTGAATTCAAAAACAAATTCTTGAATTCGTAAACCGGTGTTCGGAATTCAAAAACCAATTTTTGAATTCGAAAACCAATGCTTTGAATTTACAAACCAACTCTGCGAGGGCGCTCGCGGCGCGGCGCCCTCGGAAGTTCAGGGAGTCCTGCAGGTGCTTCGCGTGCTCCACGACGAAGATGTCGAGCACCGTGTGCCCCTGGGGCTTTGCCCGCCCCCCCCCCCCCTCTGCACTCGCGCACGCACAGGGGCTGCATGTGCTGAGCGCGGCCTCCCCTCCCCCCCCGCGCCCCCTTCCTCCTCCCGCCGCGCCTGCTCGGTGCCTCACCTCGCCCCTGGGAGCGCCACTGCGTCGCTGGAGGGCTGCCTGCATCAAGCGGCCGCAGGGCCCCCCAAAGGTGCCCCTGGGGCTTAAGGGGTGAAGGGGGAAACGTGGGAAGCATGCGCGGGGGTGGGGCGAATTGCGCCCTTTTTGGTGAGCGTTTTTTGTTAGTCGGCGTTTCGACATTGGGCGGCAAGGGGGGAGAGGGGGGGGGTCTGGCTGCTCAGTGCGACTGTTTGCAAGAGTGTGGCCTATGGGGGAGACTCCGCCCGCTCGAAACAGGCGCCAAAAACTAGCCAAGATCTACTCCATGAGGGGGGGAGCGGGGGGGGTTTGGGGCCCGCGCCGATCGGCCAAACAATGAATAAAAAACGATCACTTGGCCGATCCGTGCGCGTTCGTATTGGTTTCCGCACTCCCCTGTTGGAGAGGGGAGGAGGCGGCGGAAGGAGAGGCCGCAGCCACCAGACTGGTCGTTCCGCTTGTCAGTGTGCTCGGGATTGACGGGTGCACGGTTTCCCCCGGGGCCGTAGGCGACCCGAGGAGGAGGAGGAGGAGGAGGAGGAGAAGGAGGAGGAGGAGGAGGAGGAGGAGGAGGAGGAGGAGGAAGAGGAGGCGGAGATGGAGGAGGAGGAGGACGAGGAGGGGTCGCCTGAGCCCTTCGGAGAAACCCTCTAGTGATGGGCTGATACTGCGTCCCAGATGGCATAACGATTAGCTCTGACGTCACTGCCTGGAGACAAATACAACCCTCGACGGACGGAACTGAGGGGGAGGGTCTCTCTAGGCGCCTCTGGAACACTTTGTTTGAATTCTCGGCACCTGCAGTACAATCTTCCCTTTTGAAGACAATATTTATGTATATATACAAACAGATATATGTGCACACATATGGACATGTATGGACATACGGTATATTCATATATGTAGATGCGTGTACACATGCATGTGGGACATCTTGGGGTCATGCCGAGATCTAAAGGGATGGGCCATCATCACGACTCACCATCTGCATCAGTCACTGTGCCCCGAGGCACGAAGTGGAGTGTCCTCAGTCCTTGGAGTCTTTTGTAATGAATGTTGTAAGAGTCTGGATGAAAAAAAAGGCCCACAGCCCAGAGTGCCAAGCGCTCCCAAGCGCTGCTGGGCCTTCTCGCGTGAGCTTTCCAGAAGCAAGAGGGCCCCAACACATGCCATATGGTTCTAAACCAAGCCGAGAGGGCTCCACAAGGCCTCCAAGATGGTCCATTTGGGTCCCGAGACGGCCCAATATATTTTCAAAATGCCAGAGGATGCCTGAAAACGGCCTTAGGGCCCCCCAAGCCGCTCCAGTGGGGATTTTAGAGCACCCCCAAGAGTGCCCCAACAAGCAGGCATCGCTGATCTCCCTCAGGTTGTTGAAAGTTTGTAATGCTTTTCTTTTTTTTCCGACGCTTCAAGGCGGCCCAAGCCAAGGCGGCCCAAAAGCCTCCCAAGATCGCCCCAAGACGGCCCAAAAGGTTACCAAGAGGGCCTCGAGACGGCCCAAGAGGCCCCCAAAACGACCCACGAGGGGGTCCTCGAACACACAGTTCGAGCCCTTCGCCCCAAGATGATACCCGAGACCGCCTGCAGACCCCTCCCCAGAAACACCAGTAAACATCCAAACGGCCCCCAAAAGACCTCGAAGAAACCACAATACACCCCACAACCGCCTCCAAGAGGCTTCCGAGAGGCCTGCCGAGATCCCTGCAAGCATCCAGGGGGCCACTGGCCTGCAACCCAGGATCGGTGGCGGGATGGGCCGACGGCCACTCTGCTTATGAACAGCGTTTTTTGGCGTGCTAGCTGTTGTCTACGTGTGTGTGTGCATGCATGTATGTATATACGTACGTACGTAGGTACGTGTACACACACATATATACACATATATATATATATATATATATATATATATGTTTATGCATGTTTGCATGCATATAAACTGTATGTATGTATGTATGTATGTATGTATGTATGTATGTATGTATGTATGTATGTATGCAGGTGTGTATGTATGCATGCAGGTGTGTATGTATGCATGTATGCATGCATGTCGAATTGTGTGCTTGTGTGTATACATGCATGTAGATGATGTGTGCTATGTATGCTAATGTGTGATATTTTATGTTATGCTATGCTTGACATTTTATGTTATGCATTTTATGTGCGCAGGTTTGTATGTTTTGTAGACGTATACATGCATACATGCATGCTTATAAGCGTGCATGCATGTATGCATGTCAGTGCGCATGTCGGATCTGCATTTCTGTTATGCTATGTTATGGTATGCTGTATTATAGCAGGCTATGACAAATTATGTTATGCATGTGTATGTTTGTATAGATTAAAACAACATCCCTTGTGGGGGCTGGGCCAGTCCAGCCGGACACGCGGAAACACCCGGGCGGGCAACACCCCTCGCGGCCTTCGCGCCCAAAGTGGTCCCAACAAGGCCTCCAAAACGGTCCCGGGACGCCTCCAAGACGGCCGAGGTGGCCCCAAGACGCCCAAGATGCCACAAGGACGCCGACGACTCCACGACGGACCGAGATGGCCTCAAGAGGGCCAAAGATGCCACCCGGATGCCGAGGATGACTCCACGACGGACCAAGATGTCCTGCAGACGGCCCACGAGGCCCAGACGACGCCCCGAGAGGGCTCCAGGAGGATCGCCAAAAGGCCCAAATCAGCTATCCCATCAGCTCTTAGGTCGAAGGTGGTCTGGCGAATTCTTTGTTTCCTCTTCCAAGAACCTTCTTCCCTTCGGGGAAGGGTGCCCTCCCCCTCCCCTGCATGAGGTCTTTTGGGGAGTTCCGCGAGGTGGCAGGGTATGATTCATGATGCTTTCTGTGCCTTGGCAAGAACCCTATGAGGCTCCTTGAGGGTCAAACGGCAGCGAATGGCGCACGTACGTTTCATGCACACACACACTATATCACACCCGTGAAACTTTGTCACGAGCTGACCTGCTGGGCACGGCGTATCGCGCCCACAAACTCGCAGGCCGTCAAATGGCAGCAGGAGGCAGTCAAGGCGTTCCCGCGAGGGAACAAAACAAAGGCGGCCTGGTGGGCCAGTACAACCTCCTAGGCAGGATGGCCTTCACTCAGTGCCGTCACTTCCCTATGTCGGGATAGTGCTCATTGCGGATATTACTTATCCGCTGTAGTAGTATTCAATCTGGCCCTCGCTGGCTGCTTTCTTTACTTTCTAAACCGTCGATTCTGGGTCTGGTGTAATATCATAAGTTCCAATCGTGATATGTTTACTCAGAAATCACTTGACATAGCCCTCGTAAGACAATACATTGCTATAGTGCGGGTGTCGATCCATCGTATTTTGTCTCAGAAAGAACTACGATGTAAGATCTCAACTTCCTCTTGTCCTCGACGCCATCTTTCTTGGCGCAAGCTGCTGGTAATTAAGCGTGTGTCTTCCACTTTACCCATCGTTGGCGCATCTAAAAGCTCTTCTAGGTTCTTGCAAACGGTCACCCACATATGCCTCATTGTCATGACAGAAATATCTTCCCTATCTGAAGGAAGCTGGTGCCTGATACTTTGCATGCCGCGAGTGTCACCGATGGCCGCGCGGATGCGTATACCTGGTTCTACACCTCAGTGACAAGCCAATGTATCCGCTTGAAAAGGTAGATTTACATGAACGCCTGATGACCTGACTCGACACACATAAAATGGTGAACATGGTCACTGTTCCCCTCGACAAAGCTGGGTCCAACAAGACCGTTGAATCTAGCCCTCTGAGGTCTGAATGGCCCAAGCTGACCTTTAACGATGTCGGTCTCTCCTGCCCGGCTGGCGTGGGTAACTGTAAGAACTATCACATCCTTGTCCCATTTGACTGCTCCTCCTTTGAACGCAAGTCTGTCCGATGACTGCAATGCCTGTTCCAGAACACGATTCGCCTCTTTGAGTTGGAGCACCTTTGCGTGGTTCACTACAATCTGTAGACGACTTACACGATAAGGTAACTCAGGTATGCATTGCCGGGCAATCCATAAGGCTCCAACGGCTGACCTGAGCTGGGATACCTCACCTTCATTCCATGTCCTGGTAAAGGGGGTTACCTCTGGGGTAGGATACGGCCTCGGTCTTCTCAATGTTACCCTTCGCGCTGCTGTGAACCCTAGAATCCGCATCTTGGACAGCTTCCAGTCCACAATAATAGAAATCTCCTGGTTGGACTTGTCGAACAACAAACTCCGCCAATACTGGACCAATTATATTCTGGCTCTTGTTGTCCGCAGCCCATGATACATCATATGCGTGGGTGCCTAACGCGCGCGAGATCTCACCTTCGTAACTTGCGATGCTGAAGAGAGATGGCATGATGCGATTCTCTCAATCAATGTGCCTTGAAACGTAGACGTATCTTCCTCCATGAATCTACCCGCATCACGGATTCCGTAAACGAGCATGCGGGCGATAAGCGCTCCGCCCTTCAGGAGTCCTCCTGATCCGTCTGGTGGTGGCTTGAGTAGCGTGAGACGGTCGAGTTCTTGTCCCTGGAAGTATGCAGAAGTAATGTCGGCACATATCAGAGTCTCGTTCGTTCTCGCAACCCAAGATATTATCAACCTTAAACCTGCAAAGTCACATGTCGGTGAATCCGTGCGAATACCGGGCGACTCCTCTAAACCTCCTCGTGCGACGAGTCTTCTCTTGTATTGGGGCGCATCCGGTGGCCCACCTGCTCTACGAAGATGCTCGTGCTTATCCATATATATATATATATATATATGTATGCACCCTTTGTGTCGGGACCGCGCGATATCCTTCGTCCAAGAGTCTGTAGTCCTTTGGAATCAATGGGTACTGCTGCATCAAACTTTCTCC